AACCAAACCGAAGTCGGTCCTGTCCTATCCCTCGATCACGTTCACAGCGCCGGCGTACAGTTATACGACGTACGACTACGATGTAAATACGGATTTTACGACAGAGCCGTACGTGGAATTTCAATTCAACTGAACAGTGAGTACTTTTTCATTTTTTTTTACTTGTTCGTGATTGTGTCTGAAAAAGAAAGCTCCAACTTTGCGGACACCCTGTATATAGTAAAATATTATTAAAATTGATTGCAAATGTGTATAGGTTTGTCATTATCTGTATTCTTTTGCAGCTCTATTTGTTCATCTTGCATTCCAAGAACTACTTCACTAGTTCTTTCAAATTTCATAGCAGTTCGAGGAAAATTTGCCATTGCAGCATTTGTATCAATACATCGGCCATATTCATCTTCAACAAATCCATCACTTATTTGAGCGACTTCATTTTCCACCTCTATTTTTTCTTTTTGCATCTCAAAAGCTTCCTCTTTCTCACTTTTTATAGTCACTTCAAGCTCGTCCTTATTATCAAATTCATATCTCATCTTTATTTTTTCTTTTTCCATTTCTGACCGTTCCCCGTTTTCATTTTTCATAATATGGGTCACTTTTCCGCCTTTAAAATCCATCGGTTAATGTTTGGACGTCCATAACAGAAAATCTTCCCCCTATTTTATGAGTATCCATCACGTCTTGACGTCTAGTGAGGTGAACAGCAGCTGATCAGCAAGTGACATATTTGTATTAGTCTTTAAACGTTGGCAATAATGGATCGGGTGTAAATCTAATAAAACTTGCTTGTAGTATTTTTGTATGCAACTGAAATTTTCTTAATGAGTTGTTAGCAGGTACAAAATTAATCTGTAACGTACAAAAAACTAAAACAAAATAGATATGGAGAATTTTGAAATATTACTAGATAATCAACTGTTATTTCACTGCAGTGGATACCTGAACGCTTTTCACACAAGAATTCCAAAACCCGAATTGCTAATTAGCCGCAATAAAATCGAAAAAAGTAAACAAGCTCTAAAATAAAACCAAACTTTTCGCAGCCGATCATAACTCCCCATACGCTTGGCAACCTTGACTGTACCGACCAATACCACCTCTATTAGACTTACAACTTCTCGTTACGTAACGCGTAGGTAATTAAGACATATTTTTTAATTCACCGGTTGAGCCACCGGTGCAACCAAAATTTCCGACTGACGGAAATTAAAAGCTAATGCTACACATCCAGTATTTACTGTGATGCGTACAAATATAAATATTATTATTGACGAATACGATTTTCACTTCGAAAAACAACGTTATTAACGAATACGTGCTGAAATGTAAACAAAGCGCTGTCAGCGCCTCTTTTGGCTAGTAATGTAATAATGTAAATATTTTCGATTTGATCAAATTGTGGTCTAGGATAGTGAGCAATTGTTAATAGTAGTGATGCGAATTGCGTTAACAAGTATATTCTTCAACTACAATCGAATGACAATGCAGTATGTTACGCCACAGGTTCCTCAGACGTTCTCCCGCGCGAACCTTCACGTCCCATATACACGACTTCGCTGTCAGCATGACGCAGGGAACAGGGTCGGACTGCAAAATACGCTTGACTATTTCATGGAGTAGTCTCGCGTTTAGCTCATTTCTTTACCATGTGATATCATTGATCTGGCCAATAGATAATGATTCAGTTCGAAAAATGGCCAATTTTACACTATTGCCACGACATCTATACATTCAACATGAAATATAGATTCTTTGAAATCGTCTTGATGTGATCAATACATAACTTTCAATCAGTGATAAAAAAAAAGAACAAATGGTCAATTTTCTGGAAATGGTTTCAAAATCCTGAATATCATGTGCGTAGAACGTCTTCTCCAAGACGATGTATTTGTATTTATTACAAAAAATAAATATTACAGTATGTTCACATACAACTTTCTAACCAGTGCTTCTGACACTGGCGTAGAGAATAATACATTCTAGGTATATGCGCTAATGCTAGTCAAAGTATAACATGCTCATACAAACAATAGTATTTACAATAAATCTGAACGATGTAATGTTTTACTTCAACCTATTGCTACATGCATTTGTTGCGAATGTGGTATTGTACTTTCTTAAAAACGGTTAAAGCTACTGTTTTCTTTTTCTATTTTTCAACAACTTACCGCTACCACCCGCCCCTGGATGCTTCCCCTTATGTACTTTACGTAAATGATTATCTAAGCCCTTTTTGGCGGTAGTTTTGTAAGTGCAATGTGTGCATTCATGTATTTTGCTTGAAACTGATTCAATATATTCTGGATGTGTCTTAATTGTATGATTATCTAAACATCTCTTAGATCTGAATGCTGCGTTACAGTGATTACACGTTTTAAGGGCACAACCACCTCCTGCCTCTGGATGTTTTCCCATATGTCTAGTTAAACAGCCCTTCAAGGTGGTTTTAAATGTGCAATATTTACATTCAAATATTTTACTTGAAACTGACGCGGTATGTTCGGGATGTTTCTTTACTATATGATCATTTAAACTTTTCTTATTTATGAATGTTGTATTACAGTGACTACATACACTGAGCTTGTGGCTACTTTTTGCATCAGGATGCTTGAACATATGTTTAGTCAACAAACTTTTGAAGGTAGTTTTATAAGTGCAATGTGTACATTCAAGTATTTTACTTGAAACTGATGCAGTATGTTCAGGATGTTTCTTTATTATATGATCATTTAAACTTTTCTTATATATGAATGTTGCATCACAGTGAGTACACACATTAAGCTTGTGGCTGCTTTTTGCACCGGGATGCTTCAACATATGTATAGCCAATCTACCTTTGGAAGTAGTTTTATGAGTGCAATGAGTACATTCATGTATTTTGAAAGAAATTGATGCCACAAAGTCTGGATGTTTCTTAATTATATGATTACCTAGAAGCAATCCGGTTTTAAATGTAGCATCACAATGAACACATTTTTTGAGCTTATAGCTACTATTTGCACCAGGATGCTTGAGCAAATGTATAGCCAAACTACTTTTGAAGACAGTTTTATAAGTGCAATGTGCACATTCATACATTTTACTAGAAACATCAGGAGCAAAATCACGATGTTTCAACATATGCCTATCAAACTTATACTTGGATGTAGTTTTATGAACACAATATATGCATTCATAAACTTTACTTGAAACTGTTGTAATATACCCAGGATGGTCCCTAACTATGTGATCATGTAAACATATCTTATTACTGAATGTCCTGTTACAGTGAACACACGTTTTGCGCTGCCATCCACCTTCTGCCCCTGGATGCTTCCCCACATGACTACGTAAATTAGATCTTGCGGTGGTTTTAAATTCACAATATTTACATTCATGTATTTTACTTGTAACTGATGCCATATCTTCGGGATGTTTCTTAATCACATGGTCATCTAAACTTGCCTTCGATTTGAACTTTGCATCACAGTGAATACATATTTTAGGCTCACGTCCACCTTCTGCCCCTGGATGCTTTTCCATATGTCTATTTAAATTATGTGTTGAGGTGGTTTTAAATACACAATATTGACATTCATATATGTCATTTGCAACAGATGCAATATATTCTGGATGTTTCTCAATTATATGATCATCTAATCTTGTCCTAGACTTGAACTTTGCATCACAGTGAATACACATTTTAGGCTCACATCCACCTTCTGCACCTGGATGCCTCTCCATATGTCTACTAAAATTGCGTGTTGAGGTGGTTTTAAATACACAGTATTTACATTCATGTATTTTGCTTGAAACTGTTGCAATATATTCAGGATGTTTCTTAATTATATGATCACCTAGATTAAACTTTCTTGTGAAAGTTTGATGGCAGTGAATACACACACTGAGCTTACGGCTTCCCTGTGCCATACCATTCTCATTTTTAATGATGTATTCCTCTCCCATTTCTGTATTCCCACATGTTTCAGTGTCCAAATCGTTTTCCACCTTCAGTTCTTCAAGAGCTTCACATTTAATCCAGGCTTCCGTAAAATCGTTCCCATTTCCTGTGCTGGAATACGATAATATAAACTGTAGCTTTTTGATACATATACTGCACATATTAGGAGACATGTGCAGATTAAAAAACATGAAATTCTGAACGATGACCTTTAAATTTAAACAATGAGTAGAATCATGTAAGTATAATAGTGTAACTATTGGAATTAACACTTTCAAGATTGTCATACTATTAAGACAATACTTAATACACAATTTGGAATTTGCTTGAATGTAACAACAATAACTTATAATACTACAACTCATCAAATCCCTTTTAAGTTTGATTAATACTTGTCGAATTCCAACCGATTTTTTTGTTGGTTTCATGTTTCTGTTGAAATTATGCATAAACTCATATGTATTTTAATAAATTATTATGTTAATTTTATAGGAAACACATTAACTAGTCAAGCTGCAACATGAATCTATCTTAAAATACATCCATTATATAAAATGCTGGTTAGTTAAGAATGATGTGTTAGCAAAAATTGAGGCACATGCATCGCATAATTTCACAATATGTATTTAAATTACAGATGATGATCTCCTGGTTCCTAAATTATGGAAGAGAATAATGTATATATGTGGCCACCACCATCGATCAACGTGTTTTACCTGAAAGTGAAAATAGCTAATACTATATTCGCGCGCACAAAATATCGGACAAGAAGTGAATAGGAATCTACTGTGGAAAGGCTAGTGTCTCATAGATAGCGCTATAGCCAACTATAAATGCGCCATCTACCAGACACTAACCTTTTCAAAGGAGACCTAATTTTTGGGGACAGGAAAAATAGGCTTCAATATCTCATTCCATATCGGGTAATCTCGGACACGCGAATATAGTACCAGATTGACAATCTTCAGGTAGAATACTTTTACTGTGTTCAACAACTTTGTACTTATTATGTACATGCTTTTGTAACTCTTTAAACATAGTAAACATTTTTTTACAGGTTTTTGGGCACTCACCTATCCGAAACTGTGTCTGCAACACCTGTACTAGAGCATAGGCTGTACTCATCTTTAATAAATGTACGAGTTATTTGAGTGACTTCCTTATTATCTAAATCATTTTCCACTTTGATTTTTTCTTTTTGCAGTTCTGCAACATCCCCTATCTCCCTTTTAACATGTTCATCGCTCATTGGGACGATTTCAAATTCTTTACCGTCCAGAAAGACGCTCATAACGGGAAGAACCTTCCTCAACCGCAGCAAGCGTTTACACCAAAATCCAGTAAGCAAAAACTATCTGACATTGGATAAAACAACAAACCTAACCTCATTTTATATCAGCGTTGCCAAGTCGCAACCATCTGTCATGAGATAAATGTGTGTAAATAAATTTTTGTGGTGCGAACATCCAAAATTGGCAAAACAAAGTTCAAAGTGAATTAAGATTGTTAATTAGATACCAAAATAAAAACTAGTTCAAAAATCTAAGGTAAAGCAAAATCAGACTAAATAGCCAACAAAAATTATGCTGGGCAACACCAACTTTTAACGAATTTACGACTTTTCGTTACGTATCGAGTAAGTAGTTGCAGTTTCAATACGAAAATCCAATGTTCTTTTTCGGCTACAATGTCCAAAAATTCATGCAATTCAGTTTTTTGTACCGCAAAATTGTGGTATTTACCCAACTCAGGAGTAGTTTTATATTTCTGGTTATTATTTGAAATGTGACAAGTTAGAATTTTGCCGGGTATTGGATATTGTTATTGTACTTCAGCTTCATTTTTGGGAAACTGTATACAGTGTGACTTGTGTTTGCATAAAGTGGAGCACCTTACTAGTTATACTCATTAGTGTTGTTGGAAACACTTTCAATCTAGTTCCTATGTTTAACAAAGTATCCTGTGTAGCCATATACCACAAGGATATTAAAATATGTCCATTCAACTCACTGGAACCTGTATACGGTTTTACTACCTTTTTTCATCATTTCTGCTAAATCAATAAATGTTTTCTTTGACATGTGGAAAACTTTAGAGAATTGTAAATTATCATAGCTACAACCATGGTTCCATCATTAAAAAAATTTCCATACACCGTTGTAGACAAAAAAGTACCGATTATTAAGTGATGATAAAAAGTAATCAGAAATTATATACGCACTTTTCTAAAATAAAAAACTTGCAACAAAACCGCGGTTAAAACCAACGCGTTCAAGCGATTCGGGTAAATGACGTCATCAACCCGTGTGTCATCTTGAACCATATTATAACCGCGGCACATAACACAGAAATTTTGGTTATTCGCTTGGATTTGATTATAGGGTACACTGGATAGGGTTATGAATAAATTAGCTGGCTCGCCAAATTGTGACCTCGATCTTGCAGAAAAGCTTTTTTTTTGTAGGATGGATTCATGACCGCTTTTTTTCGTTAAGATGATTAAATAAATAAAAGGTTAGATTCACTGAAGCTGAATATTTCGTCTTCTACAGTTCAAGAGGAAAGTTTTATAATGTGGTAACGTGACCAAGAAAGGACTTTCAATTAGGGATAAAAATTGGCAAGACGGAAAATTTTCAGGAAATAATTGGTTTTAAAATCCTGAGTATCATGTTCGTTTTAAAACGATATATTTGTATTTATTACAAAAACAGATATTATAATAATATGTTTATATTCAATTTTCTAATCAGTGCTTTAAACACTAGCATAGATAATAATACATTCTATATGCGCCAATGCTAATCACAGTATAACATGTTCATATGAGTAACAGAATTTGCAATATATGTATACAATTGATTACTTGTAGCGAATGTGATAATTTACTTGCGTCGAAAAGATTGACTCTGACTTATTACGCAACACGAACCCGTCATCACCCAGTGAGGATGATGACACCAAAATGGTTCGGTCACTTTTGGCCTAATACGTCATTGACTAAAAAGTAACGTCCTTATTGACGCCATTTTTATGAATTTCATCCAAATCGGCGTGGTACTTCCAAAGTTATAGGCGGTCCAATGACTAGCGGACACACAGACCGCCGAAAATTTGTGACATGGTCGTATTATAACATCCGAAAACCATATATATCTTTTTTTGAAACGTTTCACGTTTTACACCACTGAAAAGTGGTGTAAAACTGTTAAAGCTTCTATTTTCTTTTTCTATTTTTTATCAACTTACCACTACCATCTGCCTTTGGTATTTTACTTAAATGACTATCTAAATCCCTTTTGACGGTAGTTTTGTAAGTGCAATGTGTGCATTCATATAATTTACTAGAAACTGATGAAATATACTCAGGATGTTTTTTAATTGTATGATCATCTAAACTTCTCTTAGATTTAAAGGCCGCGTTACAATGAATACACGTTTTAAGGGCATAACCACCTTTTGCCTCTGGATGTTTCCCCATATGTCTCGTCAAACAACCGTTCAAGGTAGTTTTAAATGTGCAATATTGGCATTCAAGTATTTTACCTGAAACTGATGCAGTATGTTCAGGATGTTTCTTTATTATATGATCATTTAAGCTTTTTTTATTTATGAATGTTGCATCACAGTAAATACATACATTGAGTTTGTAGCTACTTTTTGCACCAGGATGCTTCAACACATGTATAGCCAACTTACCTTTGAAGGTAGTTTTATAAGTGCAATGGTTACATTCATGTATTTTACCAGAAACTGATGCTATGAAACCTGGATGTTTCGTGATTATATGATTACCCAGAAGCATTTTAGTTTTAAATGTAGCGTTACAGTGGACACACTTTTTGAGCTTACAAGCACTTTCTGCCCAAGTGTGTGTTAGCATATGTTTAGATAAATAATAGTTCCTAGTGGTTTTAAATGCACAATGTGCACATTCATATATTTTACTCGTAACCTCGGCAATGAAGTCAGGATGTTTCATAATTATATGTTGATCTAAATTTCTCTTTGTTCTAAATGTCGCATTACAGTGATTACACGTTTTAATCTCACATCCATCTTCTGCCCCTGGCTGATTCTGCATATGTATTTTACATGAATGGTTATTAAAGTTTCTTACGATCGTTGTTTTGTAAGTGCAATGTGTGCATTCGTGTATTTTACTTGAAACTGATGAGATATACTCAGGATGATTCTTAATTATATGATTATCTAAACTTTTCTCAGATCTGAATGTTGCTTCACAGTGAACACAATTTTTGAGATTATAGCTACTTTCAGCACCAGGATGCTTGGATATATGGACAGCCAGCCTACTTTTGTAGACAGTTTTATAAGAGCAATGTGTACATTCATGTATTTTACTTGAGACTGATGCAGAATGTTCAGGATGTTTCTTTATTATATGATCATTTAAACTTTTCTTATTTATGAATGTTTTATTACACTGAATACATACATTGACTTTGTGGCTACTTGTTGCATCAGAATGCTTCAACATATGTCTAGCCAAGAAATTTTTGAAGGTAGTTTTATAAGTGCAATGTGTACATTCATGTATTTTACTAGAAATTGATGCTATTAAGTCTGGATGTTTCTTAACTATGTGGTTATCTAGAAGTATTTTAGCTTTAAATGTAGCGTTACAATGTACGCATTTTTTGAGCTTATGACTACTATTTGTACAAGGCTGCTCCAACATATGCCTAGCAAAGCTACTTTTGACGGCAGTTTTATAAGTGCAATTTGTACATTCATATATTTCACTTGAAACTGATGCAATATGTTCAGGATGTTTTTTTATTATATGGTCATTTAAATTATTCTTATTTATGAATCTTGCATTACAGTGACTACACACATTGAACTTATGGCTACTTTTTGCACCAGGATGCTTCAATATATGTCTAGAATAGCTACTTTTGAAGGCAGTTTTATAAGTGCAGTATGCACATTCATGTATTTTAATAGACACCTCACTAGTAAAATCAGGATGTTTCAACATATGGTTGGCATATTTACTCTTGAGGGTCGTTTTATATTCGCAATATAAGCATTCATGGACTTTACTTGAAACTGTTGTAATATACCCAGGATGGTTACCAACTATGTGATCATGTAAATTTACCTTACTTTTGAATATTCTACTACAGTGAATACAAACTTCAAGCTGACCGTCACCTTCTGCCTCTGGATGCTTCCCCATATGTCTATCTAAACTGCAATATTTACATTCATGTATTTTACTTGTAACAGTTGCAGTATGCTCAGGATGTTTATCAATTATATGATCATCTAAACTTGACTTATCTTTTATGCTTCCTTTACAGTGAATACATATTTTAATCTGTCCTCTGCTTCTTGCATTTAGATGCTTGCCCATGTGTCTACTTAAATTACGTTTTGAGGTGGATTTATAAACACAATATTTGCATTCATGAATTTTGGTTAAAACTGACGCAATATACTCAGGATGTTTCTTAACTATATGATCACATAAATTAATCTTTCTTGTGAATGTTTTGTTGCAGTGAATACACATACTGAGCTTATATCTACCATCAAACCCAGCATGCATCAGCATATGATTAGCCAAATGTTCTTTCGTGATAGTTTTATATGAACAATGTGCACACAAAAGCATTCTACTAGAAATAGTTGCAACAAAATCAGGATGTTTCTTAAATATATGGCCATCTAAACTTCTCTTCATCCTGAATGTTGCATTACAGTGAGTACACACATGGAGCTTATAGCTTCCTTGTGGCACAGGATGTTTCATATGATTATCTTCATCTTTAATGATGTATTCCTCAGTAATTTCTGTAACTCCACAGGTCTCAGTGCCCAAATCGTTGACCAACTTCAATTCTTCAACAGCCTCACATTTTATCCAGGCTTTAGTAAAATCATGCTCATTTCCTGTGCTAAAATATCATAATATAAACTGCAGCCTTTTTTTGTTGATTTGACACAATTAGTATAACAAGGTAAAAGTAAAATGGTGTGACACCTTTGGAATGAAGGACTTGATATTTAATCAAACTTAACAATAACCAATATGAGCTCACTCTCAAGACAGCTTCTAAATCATATGAAAAGCCCAACTTCTCAATTATTGTATGTATGTATGATTGATGGCATACAGACAGTAAAAAGGTTGGTAATATCTGACGAATGACTCATCTAATTGTTTTAACAATTAGTAGGTTTATATCATCTCCAGACTCACGCGCGGATCACGGCGTGAAATCGCGGTGCGAAACCCGAAATTTGTTCCAACAGTTCCATACTTCACAGTATAGTTTGGGCTCTTGACGAGTATGGATGGTGAAATTGCTACTGCTGCTGCAGGGCTACTTTGCGCTTTGGCAATTTATAATTACGCACATATAAGGAAAACTAAACATTTCAAAAAACTGGAAAAAACACAACCAATAACGGGCACTCGCTATGAGGCAACTGAGCCACCAGCAAATCTGGAGCCTAGTCATGTTCGCGCCTTGCGAACCCTTTGTCACGGGACAAAAAACCGACAACAAACGGGAACAGCGCGCGAACGCCACGTGAAGCCGGGTAGTTCGCGGCTTCGCGCGCTTTAATCTGGAGAGGGCATTAGATTCGAAACCAGGGCGAATCCCTTGATGATATGTGCAATGTTGCCAAATCTATAGTTTTTCAGAAACTGATAGCACCTTTTGTTTCTCTTAGGGAATGCTATAATACGTTTTATTCAATATTTGTATTCTGGAAAAATTCTGAATAATTTTTATTAAACACACTTTGACGTAGACATCATAGTTTTCTAAATAACAATAATAGGTATTTTTTTCACCTAAGCAATGGTAAATAATTTCCTGTCATTTCTGCCATTGAAAAATCCATTGAGTTGGTTTCAGTTAAATGAATCATTCTCAATAACTACTAACAAAACTCAATGGATTTTCGAATGTCAGAAATGACAAAAAATAACTTTTATTGTTTAAGTATTAATGTTTGACCGTGAATATTTTTCGAAAACTATGAGGTCTACATCAAAGTATGTTAGATAAAACTATTCAGAATTTCTCGCAAAACATGAATATCACATAAAATTTATAGCATTCCATTAAGAAAAACAAAAGTTGCTATCAGTTTCTGAAAAACTGTGGATCTGGCAAAATTAGATTCTTTAATAAGCTTTTGCATAAAAGTACCACATACATTTTGAATGTATTTGGCAGATTTTGTTAAATTTCAGCTCTAGCTAATTTTACACATTAGGTTGTCAAGTTACATGAATTTCTGTTAAAATACATCCATTCTCTTCAAATTTTATCTGGGGAATGAGGTGATGGCAAAAATTGAGACAAATTCATCATACTTCAGAATATTAAAATTACAGCTGGCACTACTAATTCCCAAACTATGGCAAAGAATGTGATCTGCTGCAATTAAAATCATAGGATATTCACCTGGTTGACATATTTTCTGTGTTTGCACTTATGGACCTATATTCATCATTCTCATGTTTAATAATCAGGTCACAATTTTCTGTAACTTTGTATCTATTATTGTATTCATCTGTTTGCAACCCTTCAAATTGCATGGCAGTCGAATCAAAATTCACCACTGTATTGCAAGCATTATACATTCTGAAAATTATAATAACAAATAACAATGTTTACAAGTTATTTTGTAGGCTCACCTATGTGATGGAGTGTCATCTGAATCAATAAATTGTTCACTCTCCACTTTGACAAATTCGTGATTTATTTGAGCGACTTCGAATTCCTTATTATCAAAGTCGTTTTCCACCTTAATTTTTTCTTGCAGAAAAACTTCCTCATTTTTAATAAGCTCATTGGTCATTTGAACAGATTTGAAATTTTTATCGTCCAAGAGGTTTTCCGGTTGTATTTTTTCTCTTTGAACATTCATAACGGAAAACTTTCCTCAATCCTCAATTTCTTTACAAATAAACAAATACACCACAAAAAACAAAACTATAAACATCCAACAGCGAAAACAAACCTAACCTTATTTTATGACGTATAAAATTTTGCCAGTGTAGCCAACTGTCATGAGATGACCGTTGCACGAACAACACTAGTGACAAAAGAGGAAATACAAAATAAATTCAGACTTTTTGCAGCAAACCAAAATTTATTTATTGTAGAGAGCCCCAGATCTACCACACTGCGATATGCCCCAAATTCATGTGTGAATTAAAAAGAGAAAAGTGGTTCTTCTTTAGATTGTTACATTCCTTGCTGAATTATATGCATATATTAGCTCGTTAGGGAATAGTTTTCATAGCCTTGCACTATTTTCTAGGATATTTTCATACCCATTTTGCATAAATTCAAGTGAACTTCGTTGAGACAAAGTTGAATTTCCTCTTTCAGTCCACGAGTACGACGGATTATTAGCATCATACACCTTTCACTTCAAACAACCCATTAAAAAGAAATCCAATGGGGTAAAATCACACGATATTTGTATTGGTAAACAGTTTTATTGAGTTTATTTTACAATTTTCATAATTTTCTTCTGGATTTTGTTTTATTTCTCTATTTAACATCCCGATTTTAAAATACATTTTACATCTAAAAATAATTGCTTGGCATCTGTACTATACCCTACTTCACGAGAATCCATCACGTTTTGACATCAACCGAGGTGAACAACTGATCTGCAAGTGACATTTTTGTGTTAGTCTGCGACATTGGCAATAATCAAAAGGGTGTAAATCTAGTAAAACTTATTTGTAGCGTGTTGTTTTTTGTATGCAAATGAACTTTTCTAAATAAAAGAGCTTTTACCAAGTACAAAATGAATCTGTAGCGTACGAAAAACCAAAACAAAATATAGCTCTGTCTACCTGGCATTGACGGATCCGTCAGAATTATGTGTCATTTGCCGATATGGGGAATTTTGAAATATTACTAGATAATCAGATGTCATTCTACCGTAATGGATACTCGAAAAGAACTATACACTAACTGGCGAGGCTAATCCTATTAATCATTTTTGGTCAGTTCCAATGACCCTGCGTTGAAATTGTCGAAAATGTGGTGGTTAATTTAATTAGAAATTATTAAATTTGTGTTGTGATAACACTCCAAAACCCACTCGTATTTTCTTTGGAAAACCGAAGAAATACCAATGGGAAAAGACTCTGCTTCACACAAAGACCAGATAACAAACAACCGAATCCAATCACAAATTACGCGCTAAAGCGCCATTCCATATACACGCATATAGGACGAATCACGTATTTTTCAAGGTGCAATTTGTACGTTCATGCAATATGTTTAGGATGTTTCTTTATTATATGTTCATTTAAACTTTTCTTATACTGGAATACTGAATTACAGTGATTACAGACTACCTCTTATACCAGGATGCTTCAACATGTGTTTAGCCAAAATAGCTCTCAAGGTAGTTTTATAAGTGTAATGTGCACATTTATATATTTTACTAGAAACCTCAGTAGTAAAATCAGGATGTTTCAACATATGTCTGCTAGCTCGCCCACTTTCAGTCAACAATCATTCACTAGCGCTTTGTGAATTTTCTTCACCATTTCTGGAATCGTCACCTCATTTGGTCGACCACTGCGATGCTCTTCTTGGCAGCTCATTCGGCCTCGTTTAAACTCTGCTACCCAATATTTTACTGTTGTAAACGAAGAAGCAGACTCACCCAGAGTAGAATCCAGTTCAGCTTTTATATTGGTTGGGCTGAGGCCTTTGAAATAAAAGTATTGAACCACATAACGATGACCAATTTTCTCCATTTTCACAAATTCACTGAAAACGTTCAGTATTGATGGCTGCCAAACAAATACTAAACAACGTGGCGTCTTCAAACTTGACATATATGCTTTATAGGTTGCATACTTTCTAATACAATGATATTTTTCAAACAACTATCGCCATCTCTAGGAGAGGCCGGGTACTTCTGGGACCACCCTCGTAGTTGTAGAGTATTTAAATCTTACTTTCTCTTTTATTTAATTAAATAACTTGCTCCGTTTCGATTGATCGTTGTCACGCACAAAATTATGAATAAAGTTATTTCTTTATAATATGCTTCTGATGGATACATTAGATGACCTATCAAGCGACATTTGCAGCAGATTGAATTTTTGCAAGTAGAAAAACTTCTCTTCCTAACTCCTGCGGAAAGTATCTTTTCCGCACTCGAACGCTGTGACAAGTCACATTATATTGATTTTTTATGACATCATGTAGATTTTTTGACATTAAGTAGGTTTTCCTATACAATGCCACCTTTGCTTACATTCATTTCTTGCTGCGCGGAAAAGTATCACTTTCCGCACTTGCTAGGAAATTAACTATTTTTTAAAAGATATATTTACACTTGTTAGAAAAATAAATATTACGATATTTTCACATATAATTCTCCAATCGATGCTTCAAACACTGGCAGAGAGAACAGTGCATTTTGTATGCGCTAACATGCTAGAGGCAGTATAACAGGCTCATCAAGTAACAGTATGTTCAATAAATCTACGGCGTAATGTGTACGGAAGAGAAGCGTGCAATATGTGTTGTAACAAATCATACTGTCAGCGCCATCTGTTGGGCGAGTCCCCTACTCGCTAGAGCTTCATGGCCGACATCTACTTTTACGCGAATCACGACCACACCAGACACCTAGCGGCGGCTGTGAGGACCGTCAAAGTGGATCGCCTTCTAGATCGACGCGATGTGATCTCCAACATTCTAGATACCGCTTCGTGGTCTTTCTCGCAGCAGTAATTGAACTATATATAACTCGGCGGCCGGGAGATGGGGCAGAGAGTACGGAATACGGTGGAGTAGCAGAGCGAAGAGAAGTATAGTGCAGTCAATGGTGACATAAGAATTAGTCAGACATAAATGTTTTATCAAGTCAAATAAATTAGTGCATTTCTTTTTGTGGAATCCAGTGTTTTAATCCACACCCAAAAAGAACCCAGAAAAACGCTACAGTATGTTAGAAAGAGTGCGCCGATGGCATCGGTGACCTCGTAATGGGGCTGCTAGGCAACGAGGTACTTCTATCTCTTTCTAACACACTTATAACACGCTTCTCTGTCGTACCATTGCGACGTTTGGTTTTCAGTGCATACGATAAATTATGTTGCGAATGTTCTATTTCACTGTTTTAGTTGAAGCTTCTATTTTCTTTTTTTATTTGAAGGGTCCCAATATGTGTTTTACGTGAATGACTATCTAAGTCCTTTTTGACGGTAGTTTTGTAAGTGCAATGTGTGCATTCATATATTTTACTTGAAACTGATGCAATATACTCAGGATGTTTCTTAATTGTATGATTATCTAAACATCTCTTAGATTTGAACGCCGCGTCACAGTGAATACACGTTTTAAGGGTAGAACCACCTTCTGCACCTGGATGCTTCCCTAAATGTCTAGTTAAAGAACCCTTCGAGACAGTCTTAAATGCGCAATATTTACATTCATGTATTTCTCTCGAAATTGATGCAACACAGTCAGGATGATTCTTAACGATATGATTATCTAAACTTGTGTTATTTTTAAAGGCCGCCTTGCACTGAATACATGTTTTAAGGGCATAGCCGCCTGTTTTAAGGTCATGGCCATTTTCTGCCTCTGGATGCTTCCGCATGTGAATAGTTAAACAACCATTCAATGCAGTTTTGTACGCGCAATATTTGCATTCAAATATTTTGCTTGAAACTGATGCAGTATGTTCGGGATGCTTCTTTATGATATGATCATTTAAATTTTTCTTATTTATGAATGTTCTATCACAGTGAATACACACACTGAGCTTGTGGCTGCTTTTTGCACCAGGATGCTTCAACATATGTATGGCCAACTTACCTTTGAAGGTAGTCTTGTAACTACAATGTGTACATTCATGTATTTTACCAGAAATTGATGATATGAAGTCTGGATGTTTCTTAATTATGTGGTTATCCAGAAGCATTTTAGCTTTAAATGTAGCGTTACAATGAACACATTCTTTCAGCTTACAGCTAGGTTTTACACCAGAATGCTTCAATATATGTATATCGAACTTGCCTTTGACGGTAGTTTTATAAGTGCAATGTGTACATTCATGTATTTTACTTAAAACTGATGCTATAAATTCTGGATGTTTAAAAATTATATGATTACCTAGAAGTGTTTTAGTTGAAAATGTAGCGTTACAGTGAACACACTTTTTGAGCTTAGATCCTCTTTCTGCCTCAGAATGTTTTAGGATATGTTTGGATAAATAGTATTTCTCAGTGGTTCTAAATGGACAATGTGTACATTCATATATTTTACTAGAAACTGATGCTATTAAGTCTGGATGTTCCTTAATTATATGATTGTCTAATTTTCTTTCGCATTTGAATGTCGCGTTACAGTGAATACATGTTTTAATATCACCTTTTTCGCCTGCATGCATTCGCATATGTTTGGCTAAATAACCCTTCGATGTGGTTATAAAAACGCAATATTCGCATTCATGTATTTTACTTGCAACTGATGCAGTATGTTCTGGATGTTTCTTTATTATATGATCATTCAAATTTTTCTTATTTATGAATGTTCTATTACAATGAATACACTCATTTAGCTTATAGCTACTGTTTGCATCAGGATGTTTCAACATATGTATAGCCAGCTTACCTTTGACAGTAGTTTTATAAGTGCAATATGTACACTCATGTATTTTACTAGAAACTGATTCTAAGAAGTCTGGATGTTTATTAATTATATGATTACCTAGGAGCGTTTTAGTTAAAAATTTAGTTTCACAGTGAACACATTTTTGGAGCTTATAGCTACTTTTTGCATCAGGATGTTTCAACATATGTATAGCCAACCTATTTCTGAAGGCAGTTTTATAGGTGCAATCTGTACATTCATGTATTTTACCTGGAACTGAAGCAATATGTTCAGGATGTTTTTTTATTATATGATCATTTAAACTCTTCTGATATAGAAATGTTGTATCACAGTGAATACACACATTAAGCTTAACGCTACCTCTCCCACCAGGATGATCCAACATATGTCTAGCCAAACTAGCTCTGCAGGTAGTTTTAAAAGTGCAATGTGCACATTCGTATATTTTACTAGAAACCTCATTAGTAAAATCGGGATGTTTCAACATATGCTTAGCTAGCATAGCCTTAAAGGTAGTTTTATAAGGACAGTATATGCATTCATGGATTTTACTTGAAACTGTTGTCATATACCCAGGATGGATCCTAACTATGTGATCATGTAAAGTTGCCTTACTACTGAATGTCCTGTTACAGTGAATACATGTGTGAAGTTTACAGCCTTCTGGCCCTGGATGGTTCCCCATATGTCTATCTAAATTACGCTTTAAGGTGGTTTTAAATACACAATATTTACATTCGTATATTTTACTTGAAACAGATGCCATATACCCAGGATGTTTCTTAATTATATGATTATTTAAACTTGTCTTATTGTTAAACCTGGCATCACAGTGAATACACATGTTGAGCTCAAATCTGTTATCTGCCTCTGCATGATTCTCCATATGTCTACTTAAATTAAGTTTTGAGGTGGTTTTAAATAAGCAATGTTTGCATTCATGAATTTTGCTTGAAACTGACGCAATACACTCAGGATGTTTCTTAACTATATGATCACCCAAATTTATCTTTCTTGTAAATGTTTTGTTGCAGTGAATACACACATTAGGGTTATAGCCACCTTCAGTCCCAGGATGTTTCAGCATATGATTAGCTAAATATTCTTTGTTGCTAGTTTTATATGTACAATGTGCACACAAAAGTATTTCAGGATGTTTATTAGATATATGTTCATCGAAACCTCTCTTCATTCTGAATGTTGCATTACAGTGGAGCTCATGACTTCCTTGTACTGTAGGATGGTTCAAAATATGTTCATTCTCATTTTTAATGATGTATTCCTCAGTAATTTCTGTAATTCCACATGTATCAGCTTCCATATAATTTTCCAACTTCAATTCTTCCACAGCTTCACATTTTGTGTATGGGTTAGGAAAATCAGGCTCATTTCCTGTTCTAAGATAGGAAAATATAAATTGAAGCCTTTGTAAAAAAATATTGAACGCATATTGTTATAAATTTGAACCAGCTTATGTAGCACGATGTAAGTATAACCAAAACTTGATATTTACTCAAATTTAACAACAATAACTGATATGAGATCACTATTACTTAAATATTGTACATACAAAGTTGATAGTGTATACAGGGTGTCCGCAAAGTTGGGGTTTTCCTTTACACGACGTGTAGATCTTGAAAACATAAGCAATTTTTCTTAGTACCATATACACCAATGTCTTAAGGGAACCGAGATAAAGGACATCAAAAATATCTGAATACCGTCCTGTAGCCGCGACATCACCAAGTGGTACAAGGTCACTGGCTCAACCCGACGACAGAACTGGGTCGGGGTCAGTGTGTCAGGTCAGTATGCAACCTTCAACCGACGGTTACGGTCACGCGTGTAGAGGTAATCGCGTAGACGAGAATCCCTCAACAAGCACTAGAGACGTGGCTAGAGAAGTGCCAGTATCAAAAACTAAAGTGTGTCAAACGCTGCGTGAAGAGGGGCTGTATCCGTTTCACGTCTAACGTGTACAAGCCCTTCAACCTGACGATTTTCCAGCAAGAGTGCGGTTTTGTGAGTGGTTGTTGCATCAACATGACAATAATCCGGACTTTTTGAAGTGCATATTGGTGACAGACGAATCTACGTTCACGCGTAATGGGGTGAATAACTTTCGTAACACTCATGTTTGGTCAGTAGAAAATCCGCACGCTGTCCGTCGGGCACATTTTCAACAAACATTTTCGGTGAATGTTTGGGCTGGCATGGTGAACGGTATGCTCATTGGACCATTTATTCTTCCAAATCGATTGGACGGGATGCAATACCTAGACTTTTTACGCAACATTTTGCCTTCCTTGTTAGAAGATATGCCATTAAGTGTAAGACAATCAATGTGGTTTCTGCGTCTGCTCGGTAGCGCATCAGCTGATTTCATTTTCTGTTGGAGCGGTATGATTTCGGGCAGAGACGTACTTAGCCCTTCTCATCAACTGGAGAGTGAGTATTTCTCCTTTATTTTTTTTTACTTGGTCGCCCTCGTTTCACTACACATTACCTTTGTTATTTCAAGGGTAGTTGTTTCTGAAAAGTAAAACCCCAACTTTGCGGACACCCTGTCTACAGAAAGCAGAGAGATGTATCAGTGAATTTAATCTGCTACACTGTTATAATTTAGAGTGTTTACAATTATTATGTATAATGCTGGCCAAATATAATTTAATAAACTTTTGCATAATGAAGTGTATGCCCCACTTAAGCGTCTTAATTTTTAATGCAGTATCTCATGTACTAACATATTATATTCACCATTATATTCTGTATGTAATAGTTATAATTCTATACAGGATATTTTTGACATCAATTTCAACTGTGTTCGTAAGGTTTTGTCAAATTTCAGAGACTCTAGCTAATTTTAATGCTTGTTTCATCTTTTTTGGTGACGTTATGTACAATAGATACAGTAAAATACTAGTAGCTAGTTGATACTATTTTTTGAGTTGTAGATTATGAAAATGGTGCTAAAAAAATGGCAAATGAATGTATTTAAAATACATCCAGTCTATACAAATTGCATGTTAGTGGAGAATGACTTGGTAAAAACTCAAGCACTTGCATCATATAAACACACAATATGTAAATTACACCTGACACTCCTAAGGTGTCAAAGAATATTCACCTGGTTGACATATTTTCTGCATCTATGAACTTATATTCATCATTCTCAATTTTAATAATCAGTGGGTCACAGTTTTCTGCAACTTTGTATTTATTATGTACATCCTTTTGCAACTCTATTTTCTCATCTTGCAATTTAAGAACTCCCTCACCAGTCCCTTCAAATCTCATTGCAGTAGGATCAACATTTACTATTGTATCACATCCATTATAAAATCTGAAGCAGTTAAAATAATGAAAACCATATTTTTTTATACAACATTTCTGAGACTTACCTTTTCCAAACAGTGTCTGTTGCATTTGTATCAATAAGTTGGCCATTTTCATTTTTAATAAACGCTTGGGTGATTGGAGTGACTTCAAATTCCTTGCTATCCAAGTCATTTTCCACCTTTATTGCTACTTTATGGATTTCTGAAACTTCCTCTTCCTCACTTTTAATAAGTTCATGGGTCATTTGGGCAGATTCGAATTCTTTAACGGTCAAGAGGTTTTCCGGTTCCATTTTTTCTTTTTGGTCACTCATAATACAATACAATACAATACACAAAAGAACCTTCAACAAAACCAGCTAACCTCACATCCACACGATAAATAGAAAACGAAAACCTAACCTTATTTACCGCCGTAAATATAAAATTTCGCCAGTGTTGCCAAATAGTAATGAGATGAAAAAACGAACATTTAAAAACTGTCCTAAAACACGTCCACATGCGAACTGACATCAGAAGCAAAAATGTGAGAATTTAAAATTTAGACCTCTAGTAGCCAACAAAAATTTTACTATGATTGCCATTGTAATGGATTTACGACTCGTTGCGTAGCGCTGTTCTGGGGCTGATTCTAAATGAGTTTCGACCGTTGAAATTGGTTTCGATGGCGCCTTGTAACGATATACTTGATTCGCTATGATAATTTCTACATAAGATTATATTGATCTTCTATATTCAAATTATCATGGCAGTGTCAAAATTGTGAAAAGTGGAAACAGTGCCTTGGAATGTACAAGATGCGGTGCTGTCAAACGAACCAATGATGCAATATTGCAGAATTTGTGGCGATCCCGACCTAAAGTGGAGCGTTGTTAGGACCGATCGAAAATGAATCCTAAACAGATTCCACACAATTCACGAATGTGTACGCTGAAAGTAACACCACTTGGGCGTAAAGAATAAACTAACGCATATTTTCAAGATGAGTCTCAATTCAAGGAAGTGGTGTAACATATTGGCAACACGGCAGATTGCTGCATCAGCGTTGCTAGGCAACATAACGATGAGCTTCGCTATCCAGTCGGCTTCAATCTCTTATCTTTTTCTAACCATATATCTTCCTGTACATACTTCACGCTACTAGTGAAAAAAGTGCAGCCAACAAAAATTGTGCTATGATAGCGACACTAGTGTATAACGGATTTACGGTTTCTCGTTACGTAACGCGTAAACGGTTATAACCCAGTCGATGAAATCTGTTTTATGATTTAAAGGATATAGTAAAACTTTACACTAAAAGATACATATTCAAAGGTAATAAGTAGCAATAGCCGTAGAGAAGCGAAGGCATGAAATGCTCATTCCATAATATGGTCGATTTTCCGATATGTCCACGACATAGTATATTCTCTGAAGCCGTGCTGATAATCTGCCATCTATTGTAGTTGAAAAGGGCAGTTTCAACGCATTGATTGATAGATCATGTGATAACGTGACCAATACAGGTCTTTCAATCAGGGATAAAGAAAAATGGACAATATTGTACATTTTCAGGAAATAACTAACAAAATCCTGAGTGTCGTATGCGTAATACATAAATGATATATTACAAAAAATAATTACTAATAACATGTTTACATACCCTATAAACAGTGGAGTAATACATTCTCAATGTATTCATAAAACAGTATGTGCAATAAATCTATACAGTATTTATTGTGAATGTGATGCTTTACTTTTTAACAAAACAGCTATTATTTTCGTTTTTTATTTTTCATTACCCTACAGCTATCATCTTCCCCTATGCTTCTCCATATATCTTTCACATACATGACTGTTTAAGTCCCTTTTTACCGCAGTTTTGTAAGTGCATTGTGGGCATTTATGTATTTTGCTTGAAACTGTAGCAATATGCTCAGGATGTGTCTTAATTATATGATTATCTAACTCCCTTTTGAAGGTGGTTTTGTAAGAACAATGTATGCATTCATGTATTTTACCTGAAACTGATGCAATATACTCAGGATGTGTCTTGATTATATGATTATTTAAATACATTTTGATGGTATTTTTGTAAGTACAATGTGTGCATTTATAGATTGTACCTGAAACTGATTCAATGTGCTTAGGATGCTTTTTAACTGTATGATTATCTAAAGTTTTTCTAGATTTGAATGCTGCGTTGCAGTGAAGACAGGTTTTAAGGGCATAACCTTCTGCCCCTGGATGTTTGCCCATATGTCTAGTTAAATAACCCTTCGTCATCGTTTTGAATGCGCAATATTTACATTCATATATTTTACTCGAAACTGATGCAATATGTTCAGGATGTTTCTTTATTATATGATCATTTAAATTTTGCTTATTTATGAACGTTTTATTACAGTGAATACAAACACTGAGTTTATGGGTACTTTTTGCTCCAGGATGCCTCAACATATGTCTAGCCAATGAACTTTTGAACGTAGTTTTGTAAGTGCAATGCGCACATTGATGTATTTTACTAGACACCTCAGTAGAAAAATCAGGATGCTTCAACATATGCCTAGTAAACTTATTTGCAGTTGTAGTTTTGTAAGCACAATATATGCATTCATGGACTTTACTTGAAACTGTTGTAATATACCCAGGATGGTCCCTAACTATGTGATCATGCAAATTTATCTTATTTCTGTATGTTCTGTTACAATGAATACACGATTCAAGCTGAGATCCACCTTCTGCCCCTGGATGTTGCTTTATATGTCTAGCTAAACGATCCCTAAAGGTGGTTTTAAAAATGCAATATTTACATTCATGTATTTTACTTGTAACTGATGCAATATACTCGGGATGTTTATTTATTATATGATTATCTGAACTTTTCGTATCTTTGAACACTGCGTCACAGTGAACACATTCTTTAGGCTCATACGCACCTGGATGCTTCCGCATATGCCTATGTAAATCAGATTTTGAGGTCGTTTTAAATACACAATATTTACATTCATATATTTTACTTGTAACCGATGCAATATACTCGGGATGTTTATTTATTATATGATTATCTGAACTTTTCTTATCTTTGAACACTGCGTCACAGTGAACACACTCTTTAGGCTCATACGCACCTGGATGCTTCCGCACATGCCTATGTAAATCACTTTTTGACGTTGTTTTAAATACACAATATTTACAATCATGTATTTTACTTGTTACTGATGCAGCATGCTCAGGATGTTTCTTTATTATATGAATATTCAAATTTTGCTTATTTATGAACGTTCTATTACAGTGAATACACTCATTTAGCTTATAACTACTTTTTGCATCAGGATGTTTCAACATATGTTTAGCCAGTTTACCTTTGACGGTAGTTTTATAAGTGCAATGTTTACACTCATGTATTTTACTAGAAACTGATCCTATGAAGTCTGGATGTTTGTTAATTATATGATTACCTAGAAAAATTTTAGTTGAAAATTTAGTGTCACAATGAATACATTTTTGAAGCTTATAGCTACTTTTTGCATCAGGATGTTTCAACATATGTATAGCCAACCTATTTTTGAAGGTAGTTTTATAGGTGCAATCTGTACATTCATGTATTTTACCTGGAACTGATGTAATATGTTCAGGATGTTTTTTTATTATATGATCATTTAAACTTCTCTTATATAGGAATGTTTTATTACAGTGAATACACACATCAGGCTTATGGCTACCTTTTCCAGCAAAATGCTTCAACATATGTCTAGCCAAACGAGCTTTGAAGGTACTTTTATAAGTGCAATGTGCACATTCATATATTTTACTAGAAACCCTAGTAAAATCAGGATGTTTCAGCATATGATTAGCTAAATATTTTTTCGTGGTAGTTTGATATGTACAATGTGCACACAAAAGTATTTTAGAATGTTTATCTGATATATGTTCATCTAAACCTCTCTTCATTCGGAATGTTGCATTACAGTGGAGCTCATGACTTCCTTGTACTGTAGGATGGTTCAAAATATGATCATTCTCATTTTTAATGATGTATTCCTCAGTAATTTCTGTAATTCCAGTTATATCAGCATCCATATCATTTTCAAACTTCAATTCTTCAACAGCTTCACATTTTGTCCATTGGTTAGTAAAATCATGCTCATGTCCTGTTCTAAGATAGGATAGTATAAATTAAAGCCTTGAAAAAAATATTCAACACTTAATGTTATAAATGTGAACCAGTATATATGTAGCACAATGTAAGTACATATAACAGAAAGTTAAAAATAAAATAGTGTTACACTTCCAAGGTTGTTAACCAAAACTTAAATATTGTTCATACAAAGGGCCGTTTTACACACAAGAGAATTACTCCGAAAATTATGGTCATAATTATGCCGAAAATTTGCATGGAAAAAATATGAAGATTTTCTCTACAACCTGTATGACACAAGCAAACAAAATTTCCGAGTAATTCATATGATACGCCTGCGCATTAGAGTAATATTTTCGAATGGACATAACCTTAACGGGTATGACGTCCAAAATAATCGGAAAGACAACAGACGTTGTCGATTTAAATTTATTTTTGAAATCGAGATCTTGGTTAATATTATAAAACTTCTCAATGCTTGGACTATCGCATCCAGCGCCTGACGCCGCAAATTTCTGTTTTTGTAATTGGGTGACTTCACCTGCTTCGACATTACCTATGAATAAACAATAACAATAAACGCTTCTTCGTAGTATGACTCGAACAGGACCACATCCACAAATAGAAGGGTTTATCTCTGCACAAATGTTAAGTGGGGTTATGTTGTTGACGTTGACATTTGATAATGACATGCACGGAAATAACCCTCTGCGCCGATTCTCGCGCATATTCTATAGAAGGGGTTTTATATTTTTACCATGAAAATTTTCACAAGAATTCTTTTAGGTGTAATACGAGAGCAAAAATTTTCGCATAATTATAACCATAATTTTCGGAGTAATTCTCTTGTGTGTAAAACGGCTCAAAGTTGGTAGTGTATATACAGAAAGCAGAAAGAGGTGTTAGTCAATTAAATCTGCTAGAGCATTATAATTTAGAGTAGTTGCAAGTATTATGTATAGTGCTGGCCAAAAATAATTTAATAAGCTGTTGCATAATAAAGTGTATGCCCCACTTAAGCGTCTTAACTCAACTATGTACTAGCATATTATATTCACCATTATATTCTGTATGTAATGATTATAATTCTAAACAGGATAGTTTTGACATCAATTTCAACTGTGTTCGTAAGGTTTCGTCAAATTTCAGAGACTACTAGTCTAGCTAATTTTAATGCCTACTTCATGTTTTTTGTTGAAGTTATGTACAATAGATACAGTAAAATACTAGTAGCTAGTAGATACTATTTTTTAGGTTGTAGAATATGAAAATGGTGATAAAAAAAATGGCAAATGAATGTATTTAAAGTACATCCATTCTATACAAATTGCATGTTAGTGGAGAATGACTTAGTAAAAGCTCAGGCACTTGCATCACATAAATGCACAATACTTAAATTACAGCTGACACTCCTAAAGCATCAAAGAATATTTACCTGGTTGACATATTTGCTGTATCTGCATCTGTGAACTTATATGCATCATTCTCATTTTTAATAATCAGTGGGTCACAGCTTTCTGCAACTTTGTATTTATTATGTTCATGCTTTTGCAACTCTATTTTCTCATCTTGCATTTTGAGAACTCCCTCACCAGTCCCTTCAAACCTCATTGCAGTAGGATCAACATTTACTACTGTATCACATCCATTATAAAATCTGAAGCAGTTCAAATAATGAAAACCATATTTTTTACAACTTTTCTGAGACTTACCTATCCCAAACAGTGTCTGTTGCATTTGTATCAATAACTTGGCCATTTTCATTTTTAATAAAGACTTGGGTGATCGGAGTGACTTCAAATTCCTTGCTATCCAAGTCATTTTCCTCCTTTATTGCTTTTTGGATTTCTGAAACTTCCTCTTCCGCACTTTTGATAAGTTCATGGGTCATTTGGGCAGATTCGAATTCTTTAACGGTCAAGTGGTTTTCCGGTTCCATTTTTTCTTTTTGGTCACTCAGAATGGAAAAAACACGCCTAAACCTCTTTACAAAAAACAAATATACCCAAAAAAAACCTTCGACAAAACCTCACATCCACACAATAAATAGAAAACGAAAACCTAACCTAATTTACCGACGTAAATATAAAATTTCGCCAGTGTTGCCAAATAGTTACGAGATGAAAAAACCAACATTTAAAAACTGTCCTAAAACACGTCCAAATGCGAACTGACATCAGAAGGAAAAATGTGAGAATCCAAAATATAGACTTCTAGTAGCCAACAAAAATTTTACTATGATTGCCGACACCACCTTGTAATGGATTTACTACTCGTTGCGTAACGCTAGTCTGGTCAAGATCCAATATTCTTTCAGTTATAAAGGATGTCGCAACGTTCAACAAGGATTTGAATTAAAAAGATCTACAGAAGTGGACACAGTGTCTTGGAATTTACAAGATGCGGTGTTGTCAAACGAACCAGTGATGCAATATTGCAGAATTTGTGGCGATTCTGACTTTTCATCTCGACCTAATCTGGAGCGCCGTTAGGAACGATCGGAAAAAATCCTAAACAGATTCGACACAAGTCACAAATGTGTACGCTGAAGGTAAAACCATTGATTGGGCGTAAAGAATAAACTAACGAATACATATTTTCAATATGCATCTTAATTCAAAGAACTGGTGTAACATATTGGCAACACGGCAGATTACGCGTCAGTGTAAAGATGAGCTTCGCTCTATCTCTTATCTTTTTCTAACATAATGTCCCTATATATACTTATCACTACTAGTGAAAAAAGTGCAGCCAACAAAAATTGTGCTATGATAGTAAGTATGATAGCGACACTAGTGTATAACGGATTTACGATTTCTCGTTACGTAACGCGTAAACGGTTATAGCCCAGTCGATAAAAACTTTTTTATGATATAAGATATCATAAAACGTATACACTGAAAGATATTCAAAGGTAATAAGTAGCAATAGTGGTAGAGAGGCGAAGGCATAAAATGCTCATTTGATAAAATGGACAATTTTGCGATATGTCGACGACAATACAGATCTTTCAATCAGAGGTAAAGAAATAGACAAGATGGTACATTTTCAGGAAATTACTAACAAAATTCTTGCGTAATACGTAAACGATATATTACAAAAAATAAATATTAACACGTTGACATAGGTACAACCCTACAATCAGTGGAGTAATACATTCTCAATGTATTTATAAAACAGTTGAGCATTAAATCTATACAGTATTTGCTGCGAATGTGATGTTTAACTTTTTAACAAAACAGCTATTGTTTTCGTTTTTATTTTTCATTGCCCTACAGGTATCATCAGCCCCTATGCTTCCCAATATATCTTTCACATAAATGACTTTTTAAGTTCCATTTGTAAGAACAATGTGTGCATTCATGTGTTTTACCTGACACTGATGCAACATGCTCAGGATGTATCTTGATTATATGGTTATTTAAATACAACTTGATGGTATTTTCAAGTACAGGGTGGCGCAGAGGAAACACATGATTTTCACGTAATCATTACATTTTTTATGTTTAAGATAATTTCATTTTAACTACAGCTAAATAAAGTAATAATAGTGCACTTTTAAATTAATTATGGTAAATTATGTCACTCAAGTTTCGTCCTTCGCGCTCGCACATCTCCAACCGCTCTTGAAAGTTGTGCATTACACGTAGGATCATTTCTTGTGGTATTCTTGCGAGTTCTTGGCGAATAGCAGTTTTCAGTTCCTGTAACGTATGGGGTTTGTAAGGGTACACTTTAGCCTTGAGGTAACCCCACAAAAAGAAGTCACATGAAGAGAAATCTGGGGAGCGTGGAGGCCAAGGAACATCGCCGAAACGGGAAATCACATGTTCAAAAATTGCTCGACGGCAAACACACGATGCTCAGTTGTCCACAGTGCCATGCCTAAAACTGCATTGCCTGTGTTCTCTGCTGGCGGTGAGTCAAAGTCAACCCACTTCTCTTTGCGAAATACTATTCACTCAGAAAATATGCGTTTCCCCTGCACCACCCTGTACAATGTGTGTGCATTTATAGATTTTACCTGAAACTGATTCAATGTGGTTAGGATGCTTTTTAACTGTATGATTATCTAAAGTTTTTCTAGATTTGAATGCTGCATAACATTCTGCCCACATGTCTAGTTAAATAACCCTTCATCGTTTTAAATGCGCAACATTTACATTCATATATTTTACTCGAAACTGATGTTCAAGGTGTTTCTTTATTATTATGATCATTGATATTTTGCTTCTTTATTAACGTTTTACTACAGTGAATGCACACACTGAGTTTGTGGCTACTTTTTGCGCCAAGATGACACAACGTATCTCTAGCCAATGAACTTTTGAAGGTAGGTTTATAAGTGCAATGTGCACATTCATGTACTTTTACTAGAAACCTCAGTACAAAAATCGGGATGCTTCAACATATGCCTAGTAAACATATTTTTGGATGTAGTTTTATAAGAACAATATATGCATTCATGGACTTTACTTGAAACTGTTGTAATATACCCAGGATGGTCCCTAATTATGTGATCATGCAAATTTATCTTACTACTGAATGTTCTGTTGCAGTGAATACACGTTTCAAGCTGACATCCACCCTCTGCCCCTGGATGCTGCTGCCAAATATGTCTAGCTAAACGATCCTTAAAGATGGTTTTGAAAATACAATATTTACATTCATGTATTTTACTTGTAACTGATGCAATATACTCAGGATGTTTCTTTATTATATGATCATTCAAACTTTTCTTACTAATGAATGTTCTATTACAGTGAATACACTCATTTAGCTTATAACTACTTTTTGCATCAGGATGTTTCAACATATGTATAGCCAGATTACCTTTGATGGTAGTTTTATAAGTGCAATGTGTACACTCATGTATTTTACTAAAAACTGATCCTATGAAGTCTGGATGTTTATTAATTATATGATTACCTAGAAGAATTTTAGTTGAAAATTTAGCATCACAGTGAACACATTTTTTGAGCGTATAGCTACTTTTTGCATCAGGATGTTTCGACATATGTCTAGCCATTCTATTTTTGAAGGTAGTTTTATAAGTGCAATCTGTACATTCATGTATTTTACTTGAAACTGACGCAATATGTTTAGGGTGTTTATTAATTATATGATCACCTAGATTTATCTTGCTCATGAATGATCTGTTACATTGAATACACACATTGGGCTTACTTGCTCCAGTCCCGGGATGTTTCAGCATATGACTAACTAGATGATCTTTCTTGGTAGTTCCATATGCACAATGTGCACATAAATGCATTTTACTAGAAATAGATGCAGCAAAATTAGGATGTTTCTTAAATATATGACCATCTAAGCTTCTCTTTCTTCTGAATGTTTCATTACAGTGAATACACACATAGGGCTTATGACTTCCTCGTACCTTAGGATGTTTCTCAATTTTATTGATGCATTCCTCACTAGTTTCTGTACAAGCCTCAGTGTCCAAACAGTTTTCTAACTTTAGTTCTTCCACAGCTTCAGATTTTGTCCAGGGTTTAGTAAAATCGTCATTTCCTGTGCTAAAACAGGATTATATCCATTCTATACAAATTGCATGTTAGTGGAGAATGACTGATAAAAGCTCAGGCACTTGCATCACATAAAGGCACAATACTTAAATTACAGCTGACACTCCTAAAGTATCAAAGAATATTTACCTGGTTGACATATTTTCTGTATCTGCATCTGTGAACTTATATTCATCATTCTCATTTTTAATAATCAGTGGGTCACAGCTTTCTGCAACTTTGTATTTATTATGTTCATGCTTTTGCAACTCTATTTTCTCATCTTGCATTTTGAGAACTCCCTCACCAGTCCCTTCAAATCTCATTGCCGTAGGGTCAACATTTACTATTGTATCACATCCATTATAAAATCTGAAGCAGTTCAAATAATGAAAACCATATTTTTTACAACATTTCTGAGACTTACCTATCCCAAACAGTGTCTATTGCATTTGTATCAATAAGTTGGCCATTTTCATTTTTAATAAACACTGGAGTGACTTCAAATTCCTTGCTATCCAAGTCATTTTCCACCTTTATTGCTACTTTATGGATTTCTGAAACTTCCTCTTCCGCACTTTTGATAAGTTCATGGGTCATTTGGGCAGATTCGAATTCTTTAACGGTCAAGAGGTTTTTCGGTTCCATTTTTTCTTTTTGGTCACTCATAATGGAAAAAACACGCCTAAACCTCTTTACAAAAAACAAATATACACAAAAAAAAACCTTCAACAAAACCAGCTAACCTCACATCCACACAATAAATAGAAAACGAAAACCTAACCTTATTTACCGACGTAAATATAAAATTTCGCCAGTGTTGCCAAATAGTAATGAGATGAAAAAACGAACATTTAAAAACTGTCCTAAAACACGTCCAAATGCGAACTGACATCAGAAGCAAAAATGTGAGAATTTAAAATTTAGACCTCTAGTAGCCAACAAAAATTTTACTATGAATACCGCCACCACCTTGTAATGGATTTACTACTCGTTGCGTAACGCTGTTCTAGTCTGGTCAAGATCCAATATTCTTTCAGTTATAAAGGATGTCACAACGTTCAACAAGGATTTGAATTAAAAAGATCTACAGAAGTGGAAACAGTGCCTTGGAATCTACAAGATGCGGATTTGTCAAACGAACCAGTGATGCAATATTGCAGAATTTGTGACGATCCTGACCTTTCATCTCGACCTAAACTGGAGCGCCGTTAGGAAAGATCGGAAATTAATCCTAAACAGATTCGGCACAATTCACAAATGCGTACGCTGAAGGTAAAACCATTGATTGGGCGTAAAGAATAGACTAACGAATATTTTCAATATGCATCTTAATTCAAAGAACTGGTATAACATATTGGTAACACGGCAGATTACCGCGTCAGCGTAAGGATGAGCTTCGCTATCCAGTCGGCTTCTATCTCTTTTTTTTTTCTTCTAACATATACAGGGTTTGTCCGGAAAGTAATAGGACTCATTTTCTTCCACCATGACTGTACTTCGGAGCGTGCGCGCACCGACTGGATTCGGTAGAGAGCGTTCTTAGCTAACGAATGAGCGGCTGGTCAGTTGGCTCCGAGCACTTGGAGAGTCAGGACAGGCATTTTCGCACGACGTGTTTCTGTAAGTGGTGCAAGCCGAAATTGCAGCGTTCGTTAGAACAGAGGTACGCGATTAAATTCTGTGTGAAACTCAGTAAATTTGCGACAGGGACGTTTGATATGATCAAGCAGGCTTGCCCAGGTGTTGCTTTAGCAAGAAGTGGTGTGTTTCGGTGGCACCAGGCCTTTTTGGAGGGCCGGGAAGAGGTCGCTGATGAAGACAGTGCTGGAAGACCTTCGACTTCGACAAACACCGATAATGTGACTCGCGTGCGCAAAATTTTGAACTCAGACC